GTGTTTCTATTAAGCAACTTAATTTTACAAGGGTAAAAAGATCACTTTGTGAGAAAGCTTCCTGAAAATAAATATTAACAAAAAAAAGGGTTACCGATTATATTATATGGCCTTCAACAATTTTTAAATCCAATAGAAATTTTACCTCTAGCCAAGTAGTATAGTATCTAACTATAGCGAGCGCTAAGTTCATTGCAAGGTGGAGAGCCTGCTCTGTCTTGCCATACATAGACAACGCTTCAACAAGATAACAATACACAGTAACTGAGGACGAGAAATCACCACATCTCAGCTCTGTCGGCAACGGGAATTGCTCTGATGGGTCAGGAAAGTGTGCTCTTGTTGAACGTTGAACATTACAATCAATAACAGCAGACTTTAAAACGCAGATTTCTGATGGGTCATCACTCTTGAAGGGGTCGTCAGAAAGCTGTAGAGATTCCCAATTGAAGGTTTTTAAATGTTGGATGTGTTTTGGAGAGTCCCATTCAAGGTATTGTTTCTTGCCATCACCGGGATCTACCAAATAAAAGAAGATAAAGGTCAATTTTTCCAACAGAAGTATACATAATAAGTTTGTAGACTTTCTCTGGTTTTAAATATTTATTTAGTACGAGCTTTCGACTGCCAGTCTGCAGTCTTCAACACACTCTCATTGTAATCCACCCGTTGAAGACTGCAGACTGGCAGCTGAAATCTCGTACTAAATAAATATTTAAAACCAGAGAACGTCAACAAACTTAATAAGAATAATCCTGGTTTCACTTATACATATAAGAAGTACACATATGGGGGAAAAATTTCCTGATTTGACTCTGTAATGAAATATCGTTATTTTACATTGAAATTTTGCAAAGAAATATTCTTATTTTCTCACTTTGATAACGGCAGGTTGAGATGTTATTACTGGAGATACTGCTACTTACGTAGTTTAGCTTCAAGTACTTCTAAAGTGGTGAACATTTCTTCACGATCTTTGGTAGAAATCGTGGGATTCAACACCAACAGTCGCCACAATCTGGCAAGTTGGTCACGAAATAGCCAGCACCTAAAATTATGTATAATCTTTGGTAAAGTTTCCTGAAGGATTTGGTAAAGTTATGAGTGGTAAGATTCATCCTTGATAGTGAAGATATAGGAGGGTGGAGTTTAGCAAGGGAGGGTATTAGAGATGGGGAATACTACTGAGGGGAAGGGCCCGGGAGGAATTATTGGTGAGGAGGGACTAATGATTAGACAGGGGGGACAATTATTAGAGAGCTCGGCCAAATTATTAGGGAGGGGCTTATTAGAGAAGGGAGGCTTATTAGAGAAGGGAGGCTTATTAGAGAGGAAGAGGATTTAGGTTACTTACGGCTGAGGTCTAGGTGTGCAACCAAAATGGAAGTTAGTTTCAAATTTCTCTCTGTTCACTCTGTATGCATTCCTCTTATTTCGTTCCTCAATGATGTCCATCAACTGAACTGTAAATGTCTGGACTGCCTTCAATGAATATCCAAAGTCATCTCTGAGCAATTCCTCGCAGGTTTTAAGAAATTTTGTTATTTCCTGACTCTTCTCTCTGGAGTATGTTTTCTTGTAGTGATTGTAAGAGTATAAAATACTGCCAGGGATAGATTCAAGATTATTGAAGTAATCTGTTCAAGGAAACAATCAAAGTTTCTATTCCAATTCATTCAATTCTATCCATTACATATTCTATATAGTACATATGATTCCATTTTATTGTACTCTTTCCAATTCTTCTTTAGTAAGTAGTATTTAATTCTATTCTATTCCATTATATTCTTTCCTATACCAAGCTTAATCAGTTCTATTCCATTCTATTTTACTGCATCTATTCCATTCTATTTTATTCTATTCCATTCTTAATGTAGTCAATTCTTCCTTGCTCAGTATATTTGTTCTACTGTATTCTCTTTCATTTCATGCTAATTTTCTACTCCACACAATTTTAATTCTTACCTTCCACAACAGGTTTTTCAATCTGTGTCATTCTCCATCTCTCCCAGACAGAACACGTCAGATTATCCCAGTCTCCAACATTTGTTCCCCAACATCCCTCTGTTACGTCAGAACTCTGGATTAATACCGTACAACGAGACTTCAAGCCTTCCTCGCAGATCAACCAGTGAGATGTCTCATCTAAGCCTAGAAATTTCATAATATAGATGAAATCAAAATAATAATAATTTATTCATAATCATTTATAAAGCGCTAAACACTACAAATATTCTAAAGCACTAATAAATATTCAAAAGTACTAATAAATATTCTAAAGCACTAATAAATATTCTAAAGCACTAATAAATATTCTAAAGCACTAATAAATATTCTAAAAAAGCACTAATAAATATTCTAAAGTGCTAAAATGTAGTCAGAAGGATTACAATCATGGTTTAATATTTGTGGTTGCTAATATGGAAGTTGGCCCAGGTTCTTAAACATGAGCGATAAGGTGAATTTGCAATTTACTGTAGCTTAGCTCTCAGAAATCAGCCTACCCAGAACCTACCTGGGCCTGCAGTTGGGTCGGGGGCTCCCCATGTTTCATTAATGGCATCATCATCAGATTTCGGGGGTTTCATCATCCTATCCAAAACATTCTGTGCTGACTCGACAATACGGCGATCACTAAACTCTGCAATAAGGTACTGTGTAAATGTTCTCAGCTGGGCATAAGTTGTTAGGTTGTTTAACGAGTCAGAGAGTGGTGGCTTCACCACACACTTGTCCTGGAGAAAAATCCGAGCCAAGCACACGGCAATCACATGGAAACACCAGCTACTGCTGCTCTCACACGGACAGGAAGTTTCCGTAATCTTTCCACGATCAAATTTCACGTTGATGTATAAATGAGGCGTCTTTTTCCCTGGAGGGCCACCATACCATACTTCTCGATAGCCTCGACACTCAACATTTGCACTAAGATGAAAACCTGTAAGATAGAAACAGGTTGCTTAGATAGAGTTGTTATCCTATATAGAGGTGGGAGCTTATTAGAGAGGGATTTAGCCATATGGGGAGGGGCTTATTAGAGAGGGCAGCATTGAGGATTTACAGTATGTATACTTCAAATATCCAGTAATACTCACCAATTTGTGTCAAATCTTTGACAGACTTGACAAATTTGATAGCCTTATCAAACTCAGTAGATGAGCCATTATTGAGTGAACAATATCGTTTGATTTTCTCCATGTGTTGAGGGAATGAATAACTAATGACCTTAAGCTGAACATTTTCAGGTATGGGTGGGTATCGATTTTCAATGTATGCAAATGGAAAGGTTAGAGCAATCTTACTAGCACAAATATCAAGAAGTGACAATGGGGTTTTAGGACTATTGTTGGGATTAGGGATGTTTAACTCTTTATATATTGCTTGTTGGTCATTCTGTTCTGGCACACGGTACGATTCATAGTCCATGTGGTCGCTGTCCCCCATGCCGCACATTGCATAGTCGTCAAAGTCCACATCGTCGTCATCATCGTACCAGTCGTTATCGCTGTCTGTGTAGTAGTCATCCTCAAAGAAGAAATAGTCATCATCATCTGACATCATCTCCAAAAATAGAACATTTGACCAGAATTACTTTTTGGCTTTCTAGGAAAGGTGAAAATTAAAAATTTCAAGGAAAGGCAAAAATTAAAAATTTCAAGGAAAGGAAGAAATTTTCTGGATGAGTCGATGCTGTTATTGTGACAAGTTTGATATTTTATCACAATACATAAACTAATAAAAATAGACTATAATCTTGTACCTGTTACAACCATCGACGAGGAATGTGCACCCCCCCAAAAATTTTGCACCCTCAAAAAAGTTTCCCACCCCACCAAGAGAAATTTTCACCCCCTCCCCCAAAAAATTTAAATGCTCATTGGGATAAATGTCAATAGTGTGATTGAATTAAAGATTTTGAACTAAGCAATCTTGACCAAAAATCTCAAATCTGTTCATTGCTTTCGCTTTCAATTTAATTGCAAGTCAGCAGCTTTTCAAAATTAAAGTGCCTGAAAAATCAGCTATCCTTTTAGTTCTATTGGTAGGTTCTGACATATCATAAGTGTGCATATAGGCAGATTTAATAGAGGTGGATTTTCACTGATGGTAGGTAGGTAACTGCCAGTTTATAGCAGGGTGACAAAATAATGTCGATTCATCCTATTGTATGTAGTACAGTCTTGCACTTGGGGCAAATAAAGTTGATATGTGGTTTAATTTGCCTGCTTTTAAAAGCATTAATATTTCTCAAGTGGACTACCGTGTCCTAGCAGTTATTAAAGACGTTTCCTTGTAAGGAAACAGACTGGAAACTCCACTTCCGAAAATTGCATTCACAAACCAAAAGTTGTTACGCAGATAATAACTATAAAACATTGCTTTCCCCAAACAATTTACTACAAATTTTAGAAGCTTGTCTCACTTTAAACAGGATATAATAGTTATATATACAAAACGCAAAGTTTAAATAGCCAAACACGAGGCTGTAAAATAAAATATCGAAGTCATCACGAGCTAAAATGCTAAAAATGGCTCATTGTTTACGAGGCAAAACTACATACTAAGAGTATTTCTGTTGTAATAAATGGCGTAAATACAACACGAAATTAAACACGCGCATACACAGCACATAACACAAGCAAAATAACAAGAAAAATGTTGAAAATAAAGGATTAAAAGTGAAACATACCTTTTCTTTTGGATATTTTTTTGCCAAGATGTAACATGCATATCATATAACAACCTCTAGCCTGCGAGCAGGCTCTCTAAACAACCTCGTACCCAGGCTATTTTCTGCCACGGCCTAGAGTAAGGAATTTTGTTTTCACATGGTGGAAGACGAATTTCACCATCACAATGAAATAACAACAACAAAGAATTTCCTCAGAAAAAAACATTTTAAAACTTAACCTTTTCATTTATTTCAAGCCAAACTGCCGTTAAAGATATCAAATCTAAAGATCCAGTTAGAGGAATCCTTTTCTTCAGCTCAATTTGTTATGAAAACCTCTGCAAACGAAACGTCTAGTTACTCTAGTATCAAGAAATCCACTGGTGCTACAATATGTAATTTTTTCAACCGTGCAAGTGGTTGCAGATTTGGCGAGAAATGCCGCTACACGCATGAACTGGAAAGTGCACAACAGTGCCAAAATGATGATGTTGAAATTCAACCAGTTTCTGGAGAAAAATTTCCAGGAAATTCAGAAATTTCTGATAATTTTGGAACACATCCCGAGGAACTAGTTGGTTCAGAGAAGTTTAAAGGTGCACTGGCTGCGTCACATGATCACAAGCAAGATGGTGCAATACCAAAAAAGAAGCGACAAATGAGGCAACCTGTTTGTCGATATTTTAAAAAAAGTGGTTTTTGCAGGGATGGTGACAAATGTAGATTTTTACACCAGACCAATGTGACAAAGTCTAAAAGTTTAATCAACACTCATGTGGAATCACCAGAGCAAATACTACCTGTCGAGAGTCAGATAAAACCAAACACTCTTGTCCATGAAAAGCTCAATATTTCTGGACAGCAATCACATGTGACAAGGCCAATCAAAAGACCAGAAAATTTAAGTGAAAAATTATCAGAATTAACAGATGAAGGTGCTAAGTATTTACAAGCTATTGAGATTGAGCAATTGAAGAAAAGATTTGGAAACAGTGATTTAAATATCACCCAAGAGGATCATGGGACAGTGTGCATGCTCACAATAAAACCTACAGACCCAGACTGGGTGAGTTAAAGGAGTCTTGTAGTATTTAATCTAAAACCTCTATTTAGCCCCCTCTTAAAGACACCCACACCCTCTCTCTAATTATCTAGCCCCTCTCTCTCCAATAATCCCCACTCTCTAATAACCCTCCCACTCTCTAATAAGCCCCACCCTCTCTCTAATAAGCCCCACCCTCTCTCTAATAAACCCCACCCTCTCTCTCTCTAATAAGCCCCACCCTCTCTCTAATAAACCCCACCCTCTCTCTTATAGGCCACCTCTTTCTCTCTAATATCCCCACTCTCTAATAACCCCTCCCACTCTCTAATAAGGCCCCCCTCTCTAATGAGCCCATCCCCCTTGACACCAAGAGACTACACGCATCCTTGTTAAATTCTTTGTCTGTGTTCCCCCTCCTCTCAAGCACACCTAAAATAAATAAGCTCTGGGATTGCTTAATGATAATAATTAGCAAATTAATTAATAAAGGGTTTTAACAGAATTTACTACTGTTGAAATTATCGCTTTTTTTAGCCTTATGATATAAATGAAGTTCAACTGAATGTCACTTTCCCAAACAACTATCCAAAAGAGGTGATGAAACAAACTTGAATGACATATTCTGTGTTGTGTTTTGTAGTTGGTAATAATTAGTTTCACATTTTGCTAACAGATTTTCAAATCAGAAGTAATTGATGATGATGGACAATTTCCAGCAAATTTTACAAAGTATGTCATCAAATTTTTAATAATTAAGATAATTAGAATGAATATTTATAGAGGCAGTCAAGTCCATTCAGTGAATGTGCAGTTTGTTTACATTTTGAAAACACTGTATATTCATAAAATATAATGCACTTAGTTAATATATCTAACATAGTTCTGGTTTGCTATGCTTTTAAATGTAGGTTAGAGAACAGACTTGACCTCATCTTTAATTCAATTGCCTATAATTCTGATAATCTGATATAAATGCATAATTGTGTAGGTACGTGAACAGTGACATTGAAAAACATTTAAAAGAACATGCAGAGGCACAGAAACTCAGAGATTCACCAGATCTCCTCTTTCGGCCATTTCTCAGATGGCTTGATCGAAACTTGGAGAATCTTTTCACAAAAGCTTTGAAACAGGTAAATCTGTCAATATCCTGTTTAAGCCCTCATTCCAGCAAATCTCCCTTGATAATTAATAAACCCTTTTTTCAACAAACCTCCTGTCTCGAACAAACCCTGTTATGCTCCAAACCTCCCAAATATGAAGGGACCTACTTCTCCAAAATCCCCCACCTCTTTCTGATAAACCCTCTCTCCAATAAACCCATTTTGTAAGAGGAAGATATTTATTGAACCCCTTATTTTATTAAGCCCCCCCCCCCCAAAAAAAAAAAAAATCCAAAAGACCAAGACATTCGTTACATTCATATTTCAGATTAAGTTTGATGTAGAAGCCCGGTCTGCTGGACTAGAGTTTATCGCATTTGACAATAATGATAGTAGCAACAAAATTGATGATGGAAGTAAGGAATCAGAAACCCAAATACATGGCACTTCCAATCTAGAAGACAAAGAGGATGTAAAACTAGGAGAGGAGAAAGTTAGTGCTGAGTTAAGCGTGATACAAATTGGCGATGATGGTAATGATGGTAATGGTGATGATGATGGTGACGATCGTGGTGGTGATGGTGAAGATGGTGACAACGAAAGGAAAGTACCTGGGAAGGAAGATGCAAGTGCAATGTTTGACATGATCGAAGCTAGAAAATCTGGAAATTCTAAAAAAGGAACAGAGATAAGGTTTCGAGGGATGGAGCTTCATGAGAACACAGCCACTGTCAGAGTAACATCACTGACTTTCACTATTCAATGTGGCCGCTGCAAGAATAGAGAGGAAATGCCAAATGTTAAAGAGAAGTACATGCACTTCACAGTACATTTATACCACTGTTGTTTCATCTAAGCCCACTTTCACACCAGATGAGTTATTCAAGTTTGTACTATTTTGCCTTTACATGGGACTCATGAAATCTGACGTTTCAAGACCGGTTTCCAGTACGTCCGCTTTACCCACACGGGCAAAGCGGACATTATTGAGCATGCGCCATAAATTTATGGCGTGACCATAACTTTACAGAAGACTTTACGGTGCATGGAAACTGTGCTTACAGCACAGCATTTCCGCATGAACGTATGGAACCTTGCGTACAGTTCCAAATTCAGTCTTGTGTGAAACTAAAATACTAGGATAAAAAGTGTCAGATAAATGTTAATCCTAATTCCTAGAAAAATATTGAATCCAAATTTCACTTTCAGTACACAAGTGGTATTGGCATGCTCCAAATGTTCAAATGCTGCAAGCATTGCGTTCACAAGTTCAGAAATTGTACATCAACATTCTACAACATTGGCATACATTAATCCTCAAGGGTAAGGATGTTCTTGTTGATAGGGATAACAGTATCCATCTTTCTTGGGAGAACCTCGTGAATGCAAGGATCCACGCCTTTAGATCGTTCACGATACTGTAGAGTAGCGTCAAAACGAAGAATCGTAATTGGTTCGGAGATTGTATTCATTTACTAACCAGAGCAGCGAACACGTCTGAAATATATAGCGAGCTGAAGTATTTCTTCTTTTCTAGTTGTCTACCAATCGACCTCATCCTTTCCGAGAGCCAGTTGGTACTTGGTTGTCTCAATTGCAGTAAAGAGACATCAATTAAGGTTATACAAATTTCTGTCCCTTATTTTCACTTATCTAGGCTCAATTCTCAAACTAAACCTTCAAATCTATATTACAGGGTATTAATTACGGCTCAACAAAAAATGTGTGGTGTCATCATTGTCATAATAAATTGGACATGAAAGTTGAAGCAGCTAGATTCCATCAGCTACAGCCTGCTAAAGAATCTGGTAAATACTGGTTTTTACAATGATGACGATCAGGGCTGAATGAGTCCCTTTGGCATTTGCAAAAATGCTATTGAAAACAATGAGTGACATGAGAACAGTAGGATTTTTAAAACTATGAAAAGACAATGAAACATTTTGATCACTGAATCGGTAACTGGATGACATGGAGAAGAGTGAGATTTTTAAAACAATGAAACATTTCTGAGTCAATAATTGGTCGTGGGTGGCAATATAACGCTACATCTCATGGAAACAGCCATCGACAATAGTCATGCCTAACCTTTAAATTTATTTTTCAGAAAGTAAAATCAAAACAATTGAACTTAAGAAAGTTAAGACGAAGGACAAGGAGCCTGCAATCAAGTCAGGTCAAGCACTCCCTGACAACGGCACATGTAAACATTACAAGAAAAGCTATAGATGGATGAGATTTCCATGCTGTGGTAAATGTTATCCCTGCGATAAATGTCATGAAGAAGCTGGAGACGGACATGAAATGGAACAAGCCACGAGGATGATCTGTGGCTTTTGTTCCAAGGAACAGGTACAGGTTTAATTGCATGGTCATTTATTCTGCAAGGTAGAAGAGAGCGCAGGAGAGGCTCTACTTACACGAGTTCTGTACAACATCAGATCATTTTTTGATGTACTACCTCTGCATGATCAAACCATTGAGAGAGAAAACATAGGAAGAACTTAACTCGACAACAAATCACTTATGGTTTGCCTACAACTTCTCACTCTTGGTATCTTTTTTCAGGCATTTAGTCAGAAAGGCTGTGTATCGTGCAAGGCGTCAATGACAGCAGTACGGACAAGTCATTGGGAAGGTGGCAAAGGATGTAGGAATAAAATCAAGATGAACAGGTAGTCATCCCTTATTTTCGTGTTTTAATAAAAACTCACAAAACTAGACCGCGCTTCGAGATTGCAATCCTCCACCAGCAGGCGGAAAGTCAAACTTTGATTATCTTTTTGACCATATTGTACATTTCTTGTTATCAAGTCCCGTTTATAAGTGTGATACTTTGTGATCATGATTTTGATATTTCTATCTTGTAGAGGAGATGATAAGAAATATTCGGACAAGAACAAGACAGTTTCTAGACACGCCGTCAAAGTCGAGGGTCAGAAAAAGAAGTAGATATATGACCACAGTGTGAACTCTTTATGTGGCGCTATATTCCGGGCTTTGCTCGTGGACCTGCGTTCAAAAAAAGGTTACCACTCAGAAACATTTAACTCTGTTGATTTATACTATGGGCAATGAGAGTTCATCAATTAATTAAAAATACAGTATTGAATATTCTCCACATGTCCGTATAATAAAAATTAATTATGCGCAGCATGTATGGCATTCATGCTTCCCGCCGCTCTCGTGCCTGCCCGCGAATACCGCCTGCTACGCAGGCTACACTGCTGCGACTCATATGCATCTTAATTACTTCCGTTATAATAAATAAGATTGACAAAATCAACATATCGACGCGTACGTGTCAATACTGTAAAATTGCTTATAAAACTTCATCTCATATAATTTTTTCCCTTTGTCTATAAAAATTGGAAATCAGAAAGTCCAGTAGACATATGGAAATGTTCAGCAATAAATAACAATGAGCAATAAATAACAATGCAGCTTCATATCTGGATGTATGTTTTTGTGGCAATTTGTTTACTAAATGCGAACTTTATACGTTCTCATGGCGAGGACGACGACAATGCTGAAACGAAGCATTTGAATGACAAAAAGAACAACACATCGAAAGATAATGTTCTGTTAATTTCATTTGATTCCTTTGGTTGGAAATACTTAGATTTGGTAGAGACACCAGTTTTAGATACTTTCAAAAAACAAGGAGTTTATGCTGACTATATGATCAATGTTATCCCTACAGAAACATTTCCAAATCATGTTTCCCTAGCCACAGGGTTATATCCAGAATCACACGGGATAGTATCAAATGATATGTATGATCCGATATTCAACGATTACTTTAATATGAGTGTAACAGATCCGAAATGGTGGTGGGGTAACGGTGTTCAACCAATATGGTATACAAATGAAAAGCAGGGTGGTATCAGTGGTATTGTATGGTGGCCAGGGTACAATATTAAAAATTATACCTCAACTTACTGGAATAAGAATAATAAGATATCATATAAACACAAAGTTGATCTAGCTATGAAATGGTTAACATCTGAGAAACCGCCAAATTTCTTGATGTTGTATTTTGGAATGCTAGACCATGCTGGTCATCAGTATGGGTTTGGTTCACCACAAACACTGCAGGAAGTGAAGAATATTGATAATATTACAGGGTATCTTCTTGAACAGTTAGAGCAGAACAATTTGTTAGATAAATGGAATATTATCTTAACTGCTGATCACGGAATGACAAATGTTTCACAAAGTAGAATAATAAACATCACAGACTATGTTAATACGTCTGAATGCAAGATTAATGGCGATGGTGGCGTTCGTTTTGTTTGGCCAAATAGTAAAGGAATGAAAGATATCATTTACAAGAAATTAAAAGATCACCCGCATATGCAAGTTTGGTTGAAAGAAAATTTCCCAGAGAAATATCACTATCGTAACCACCGTCGCATAGCTCCGATTTTGGTGACCGACGATAAAGGATGGACATTAGTTAACGATCCAAAAACATTTAAATGGACACATAAAGGTACACATGGTTATCTTAATACCTATCCCTCGATGTGGCCTATATTCTTTGCTCGTGGACCTGCATTCAAAAAAGGTTACCACTCAAAAACATTTAACTCTGTTGATTTATACCCGCTGATGTGCAAGTTACTAAAAATTAAAGCCAACCCAAATAATGGATCATACAGGGCAGTAGAGCCGCTTTTATTAGGCAATAATGAGAATTCATCATTTAGTGGAATATTAGTTGGTGTGATGGTATCATCAATATTCTTTGGGCTCGGTATCCTCATTTGTTCAGTCACAATTTGTTTGAGTGACAGAAAAGTTAAGAGGTTCCGAACCAACCGAGCATGGAATAATAACATGGTAATGAGCCAATTAGAACAATCTGATAAACTGCTTCTTAACGAGGATGGTGATGATGACGATGAAGAAGATGAACTTATGACACCAAGATCTGACACACTCTAATTAGATTTTTAATGAGGCAATTAGAACAGTCTGAAAAGTAATTCTTAACCAGAATCAACATGACAACAAGCCATTTAGAACAGTCAATGTGATAAATTACTTCTTACAAGGATGATGAATTTATAGCAGAAAGATATAACACAACCAAATGAGAACTTTAATAGAATTATTTGTCTTCATGATTCAGTTAGAACTGTCTGATAAATTACTTCTTAGAAAAAGCACTATGTGACTTTGAATTCCCAATAAGACATCAGTGGGATCAAAGAAAATCTACATTTTAATGAAATTTAAAGCTAAATCTTACAATACCAATAAGTAAATATATATCTTACAATACCAATAAGTAAATTATGACTCATAGTTAATAAACTTTACAAAACAATTGTTTCAAAGTTGTCCACAATTTTCAATCACAATTTTTTTACTTGTCTTTCCTGAAGCAGAGCCAGTAGCCTCCATTTTCCTGACAACATCCATACCATCGATAACGCTGCCAAAAACCACATGCTTGTTGTCGAGCCAGTCTGTTTTTTCTGTTGTTATAAAAAACTGTGAGCCATTGGTATTTGGCCCTGAGTTAGCCATTGAGAGCATCCCTGGTCCTGTATGTTTGAGGACAAAATTTTCATCTTCAAATTTTTTCCCATAAATAGATTTTCCCCCTGTTCCATTTCCTTTAGTGAAGTCACCCCCCTGACACATAAACTGTGGGATAACTCGGTGAAATGGACTACCCTTATACCCAAACCCTTTCTCTTCTGTGCAAAGACAACGGAAGTTCTCAACAGTTTTCGGGACCACGTCATTACGTAGTTCCATAGTGATTCGTCCTGCAGAACGATCTGCAATCATTATATCAAAAAATACTCTATAATTTCTCTTGGTTTCGCTGTTGTTGGCACTCTCGCCTGACTCTGCAGTGGTTGAATCAGCATTCTTGTTATTCTTATCTAATTCAAGCGTCTCCCCAACATGTTTTGACATCCAAGCATCGTCTTTCCAAATTGCCCGTGATGACCCCTCTTTTACTCTCATTGGCTTCGCTAGATTGACTCGGATAGTTCGACCAAATAATTCTGACTCATGCATGTTGTCTAAATAAATAATGAATATTAAATTAAACACTATAATACTATACAAGGAAATCAAACATTAGATTATTAACACGCGAGCCTTATCTAACTCGAGTGCAATTCCCATTTGAAATACAAAAGAACAATATCATGCAGGATCTCAGCACTGAAATTAGATTTAAAAACAAAATTTAGTTTCCATGACTATAATAGTATAATTCTATAAATGCATGAAAAAATAGTTATTACTTAAAACTGTCACAAAAAACTTTGAAACATTGTCTGCTTTCATATCAAACGCAAACGTATAAAGTACATAACACATTCCTCGTACAAAAATGTACTTCACTGCAGCTGATTTGAATAAAAAACTCGTGTTACCTATAGCGGCTGCAGCATCTTCAGGCAGTTCAAACTCGACAAACCCAAAGCCTCTATGTTTCTGCGTTGTATAATCTAAAGGTATTTGTACATCTGTGATATCTCCAAACGGAATCAAGGCTGCATGAAGTGTCTTTTCATCGACTTCTTCTGCTAAACCACCAACATACACCATACGTTTGGTCGCCATCTTGGATACACCCGATTCTGCACATGGAATCTTAGGCACAGCAAACCCGAACTTTTTTCTCGCTTTTGAATATGTAATTTGCTATCGATCACTACATTTATCGATCACGTTTATCTATTCATTGATTTATCTTGACTGGTAGATTTATTGATTAATTTATATACTATTTACGTATTTACAATTATGTACATTTAACAATATGCTTGATATAAATATGTTATATAAAAACGAGCAAAAACTCTCGGATAATTGCATAGTAAAACGGTTATCGCTTTCTCCTAGTGCATTCTGTTGTGTTCTTATATTTATATTTTTTATTTAGTCTGCAGTTTCGGTTTCCTACACAGAAACCATGAACCAGGGTTCAAAGCTTTCAGAGCGAAAAAACTTATCGAGAAAAGCTAAATGAAGCTGAAGAACTTTTCATCGACTTCTTCTGCTAAACCACCAACATACACCATACGTTTGGTCGCCATCTTGGATACACCCGATTCTGCACATGGAATCTTAGGCACAGCAAACCCGAACTTTTTTCTCGCTTTTGAATATGTAATTTGCTATCGATCACTACATTTATCGATCACGTTTATCTATTCATTGATTTATCTTGACTGGTAGATTTATTGATTAATTTATATACTATTTACGTATTTACAATTATGTACATTTAACAATATGCTTGATATAAATATGTTATATAAAAACGAGCAAAAACTCTCGGATAATTGCATAGTAAAACGGTTATCGCTTTCTCCTATTGCATTCTGTTGTGTTCTTATATTTATATTTTTTATTTAGTCTGCAGTTTCGGTTTCCTACACAGAAACCATGAACCAGGGTTCAAAGCTTTCAGAGCGAAAAAACTTATCGAGAAAAGCTAAATGAAGCTGAAGAACGTTTCTGAAAAAGCCATCATTTTGCAACTGAAAAAGATTGCCTAAAAGCTAAAAAGAAAATTATTTCATTCAATGTTGATAAACAACAGTGGAAAAAAGTCACAGTCATCTCATCAAAAGTTCTTCAAGAAAAATGAAGGTAGAATGTGAAGAGTAGGATGGAAAAGTGAAGGTAGAATGTGAAGAGTCGAATGGAAAAATGAACTTCAAGGTAGAATGTGAAGAGTAGAATGGAAAAATGAAGGTAGAATGTGAAGAGTCGAATGGAAAAATGAAGATAGAATGTGATGAGTCGAAATGGAAAAGTGAAGGTAGAATGTTCAATGTCTAACGACAACAGCTTTTTTTCTTTCAGAGACCCAATCAGGAGCGACAGTAAATGATCCTTGTGTGTTTGATCCAGTGTGAGCAAATGTACTGTTCCCATGTTCGTATGCTGGTGCCATTACTTTGTAACCAGATGATCTCGCAAAACCTGATGGCTTATAGAGGTGATCTAGTGAAGGTTCTCCAAACTGTATACCACACGGGTTGACTCTTTAAACGAGAAAAAAAAAACACATAAAAAGATAAGGAACAATTTGTGGTTACACCATGGATGTATTTAATTTAATTCTGAGCTTTCGGCCCGTGTACTCGGGCCGTCTTCAGAGAAAAAATGAACATTAGATTGTTCGAAGTTCTCCTTTTATTTTTCAGGTAGTTGTATCGCTATCAATCCGAAACTTTTTGTGGAAAGTAGGAAATATTGCGGAGTCATCTTTTCCTAGTTTCCTGGCCATGTTTCACGAGTTACAGTTTTAAAGGACACTTACTTTGTAAGGACTTCCAATTCATGACGTTTTGCGGAGTTTTCAAAACTTGAATACGGCTCAATATTAGTTGAATGATCATATCGTGAACGAGAGCTGGCTCGTTGTACAGGTGTATGAATAGCGACTGATCGCTGGACTTCATAGTTTACCAGATCTGGCCTCTTCAGTGGATTTTCAAGAAAATTACCCCCATCTATTGTATCTAGAGGCCAAAATATAAATGATCAGTTGACCACTATCTGTTGTATAATAGTGCTTAGTAAAACGACATAACAGGAAGGCTATAAATTCACATATGGGCGTCAGAATAAGTAGAATAATAAATATACCAGGGTACATTTAAAGAGGAGGTAGGGATAGTCTCCCAAGTCGTTTGGGTGCGGGTGCACCCTCCTCATTTTAAGCAAATCCACTGCACACTGGATTTGTCTCTTTCACACATAAACTTACCATTTCTATATGTAGTATCCAGAGTACCTCCTCCAAGCCCAGGCAATGCATCTCTGGCTTTATCATTATATGATCTAGCCGTAGATATCTTTCGTGTTGTTTCAAATGCAGGAGGGTCTGCGTAATGATGACTCATTCGCAACCCTGCACTTCCACTGCCGCTCATAACAGGAAGAAATGCTTGGATCTAAAGCGAAATGAGAGGATGAATATTCAATTGAGTAAAAATAATAAATCAATCATAGAAAATAAAGCAGTCAAAATTGGCGAGTCTAACTAAGCAGTATCGTGCAGCAGATGATGGTCAACCTGCAGTTATCAGAGTGAGAAAATAATGTTCATTTTTTAACTATTTGTAGTAGTCTCATATTTGGAGGCAATTGAATAGAATTTAGAGATGAAGTTTAACATGTTTTCCCCTGTAATTATCAAAATTGACTACCATTTGCTATAACGCTTACTAAAATCCACCAATTAACCCATTGAGTGGCAGCGCTCTCCCCCTAACGAGTAAAATCGTCTGGCGTAGACAGAGTAAAATAGTCTGGCGTTAGACAAGTAAAATAATAAAGTAGGGCGCATTGCCACTTAAAGGGTTAAGCTGAGTCAAAATAATATTGAAGAAATAATCTTCAACTTTCAATAGCTTACCGGTTCACCACTTTTATACTTCATTCCTTCGTAATATCTTCCCTTTGACATACCTTGAAGTTGGCAAAATACAAATTCATATAAACTGGAAAATACTAAAGAAACCTAATTGTGGAATTTAATGCTAGACGACTTTTGCACGATTCTGCATGGCAAAATGAAAACTGTTTGGTCAACGGCTATGATTGAGTGGATTTTGATCTAAGGGATCTAACTGCCAGAAAAATAAGAGACGTTACCAGCGAGTATATTTTTAGATTGTTATATCTTTATAAACGAAAATATCTTAATTTATTCCATGCGCCATAAATAATTAATTGAGTACAGGTGTTTGCGGCAAAGCCCAACAGAGCCCTTCTATTTCGCTAAATACAACAACAGTTCATCTGTCACCTAGTTACCTTGTTTTCATAACAAGACAGTTTAAGCAGGCACGAAATAAATATGTACACTTATCAGTCAATAATGCACAGGTGGAGAAACTGTATTGACATTAGTGTCACGTTTTAACTACTCAGTTTACGTTCTTTGTAGATATGTGATCATATCAGTTATTAGCACTGATGAAGATCCGGGCTTACGGATCGAAAGCTTTGCAGTATTAAATTTACGTGGTGTTTCCCCAAACAAGTAGTAGTATATACTCAGTTTATGAAGAAACTTTCAGCAGCTTTAAGTTAGCCGGTCTGCAATGCAAGCAATGGAAAGGTGGACGTATTCCATTAAAAAATACCTGAAGCCGGATTAGAGCCCGAGATTACTAACTAAACCTTGCTTCGAAATATTTTTCTATATTTTGATTTATACAATACACCCGAAAAATGACACTATATATTTAGAGGATGTTTACAGAATGTTTGTGTACAAGATTAGCGAAGTATCTCAAAGCACTTACCCTCATAGAAACTGTTGGATGGGTCACCAAATTTTCTGCTAGTGTTCAAATTCAGATCAGTCGCAGTAGTAAGTCCTCCGCGATTTGTCTCGCTATAACCTGCAATCAAATGATCTCGAGGATATGAAAATTCCTACATGAAAATTGAAAAACTTTTGGTAAATGTTTTAACAGAAAAAAAGAAGACAACAATAATAAGCAACTTGTTATGAAAATAAGACGTTTTCTTGCTGTTCGTGTTAATAGCTATAGCCTATATATATATGAACTGTAATTGTATTTCGAATCTGTAATTGTATCTCGAATTATCTGTAATTGTATTTCGAATCTGTAATTGTGTTTCGAATGTGGGTTTCGAATGTGGACAACGTTGAACAATATCCTGCTTGATGGATGAAACTGTTTGAAAATATAGAAAATATTTCAACGTTTCAAGGCCCTCCGTCTGGAGGTTAGTAGCTCGGAACCTTCCCTTGAAACCAACAACTTCTTGAATATAAACCGACATTTATTATTATACATGGGAGTGAAAAAAAAACAAGCAGTCATCTTTTGTAGGAGATACCTGAAAAATACAAAAAGATCTCTGTTGCATCTCTTACAAAAGATTGCTGCTTGCTCTGGGCCTATGTACACTGACACTTAGAAGCATAAGATAATAGGCCACAGCGCATCAATGACATTATGGCCTTTGAGTTTTTTAATTAATGTCCATATCTTTACTGAATTCATCATGTTCTTCGTGTAGTTTCAACAAGTTTCGAATTTTCAACCAACTTTCTCGGATATTATTCAACGCTAACTACACAGGAACCCCACACACTACATTTCGCCAGCAATTGGCGGAAACAATAGCAAGTTAATACAAAAAATATACAAAAGATTAAGAAATGAAATTTGACACTAAATAACAAATTCATTCATTACCCGATGTAACTGTGGATAACTGGAACGACGCGTTACAACTTTAGGCTTCACATTCCTGTATCTGTGACTGTTGAAAGGCCGGACGTTAAAATCATCCATGTACACGGATTTTCTGCTCATTCTTTTGTCTGTGACCATATTCGCTGGTAACTGTACCCAAACATTGTTCCCCTTCTGGATCAATTTAGCCTCGGTGACATTATTGTACGATTTTGGCACTGGAACTTTAAAAGCGCGAGCCATCGGAGTAAACTTGCCACACACAAAAAAGATTCTCCTTCAAAAGTGACACTGCGCTAGGAACTGTGATGCAGTGCTGCTGTAATTACGGTAGTCTAGCAGTTATATTATGAACCGTTGTCATGTGCCGGCAAATTTATATATCGCGGATACTTATGCGTTGACAAAACGGCTAAGTTGCTAAGTTACAACAGCTTAGCGGTATTAGGATTATAGCGAATGAAAATGATTGGATATTACGAATATATGAGGTTAAAGTTTGCAGGTTGTATAAGTAAATACAACCCTGCGGCCTAATATAAAGGAAAGCAGGCGTTGTTGGAAAATAGTGTTTAGTGTTCTTAGTGCAACATCTTCCTGATGATGGCTGAATATAAGCTGAAACGTAGAAATGAAAATAACAAATATTTTTTTTGAATATTTTACATTATTAATGTATGTATACACTAATTGTGCATAGCCGTTTGTTAAAGTTGTTAATATACTGGCAAATTACGATGTAATTGTGGCGTATACGCGTTATTTATTTATTTATACAAAATTACTTATCTAGCAAATTACTCGTGCATGTGTATTGTTACAATTTTTATGAAGAATGAGTTCTCCATTTCAACTCCATTTAGATCTTTGATCATCATCCTCTTTCGGCAACAGTCAACAGCAAATGCCATTAATTTTAAAAATTCTAATTTTTACCTGGCAAGTAATAATAAATGCACCTCAATTAATATACATGCAAAATGTTTAAAATTAACTTCAAAAAGTACTTGCAAAATTCAACTATAGATACCTAAAGGGTGCATCCAGCAAATCAACCCGGAAATGCATCGGTTAAATTATTTCAGATTCGTTATCATGTTAAATTATTTCAGATTCGTTATCAATGTAATCACACTTTCAATTTCGAACAGTCAGTTCTAATTGTCTACTTTTCTTCTAAATTTTCAAATCTTCCATCGCTTTCTCAATTCGTTTCTGATCATCCATCAATTTCTGAGAAAATCTCGCAGCCTCTTCAGCTTCATTTTTTCTTCCAAGAATTCCAAGGACTTTCTCAATCTCTTGACTCGTGATCACAGTTTCCACGTGCGGTCCAATCGTTCTACGTTGAATCTCGAGCGCTTTCCGAAGAACCTCAAGTGCCTCTTCGTATTTACCTAACAAATGAAATAGTTTTAGGTGCAGTCAAGGCGAATGTAGTAATCATCTTTCCCTGTAGGCGAGAGCTGAATTGTAAGGGAGGCAGGGCACCTCTGGCTGCTATCATACAATCCATGTCTGAACACAGTTAAGGTGGAAGGGTTAGTTTCTGGCGAGGGAGAAAAACCCGAGGACCAGGGAAAAACACCATAAAAAAACGCGCAAAAAATAATCCACGCAAAAGATAATCTTCGCAAAATTCGGTGCGCAAAATGAAATCGCGGGAATTTAAGACTGAGATAGCATGCGTACGGCGCGATTGTACATCCAATAAGGTATTTACCTTGGGATTTCAACGTAGTTCCAAGACCCAGATATGAAGTAGCAGTAAACTTGTGATCACCAAGGAATCCTTCGTAGATTCGAATTGCTTCTTTCCGACAATCCATGGATTTCTCAGCATTACCCAGGGCCTCATAAGAGCTGCCCAGTTCCTCGTACAGTGTACCAACTGAGGGGTGGTCTGTCATGTGCTCCTTGGCTGTCGGTAGGAATCTCTCTCGCAGCTTGATTGCAGTTTCATGGTGCTTGTGGTAGCTGTACACCGCTATATTCAAACAAAATAGTAATTTTTCAGAGCTGAATGCACCCTTCTGGAAGGTGTCATAAAAACGAGGCTCTATAGACCTCTATATGCAAGGTGACATACTTTCCATAAGGGAACGTTACAAGGGGCAGTGGTATTGATACTATGACAACATAAATTACAAAAACAACAAAAAACTCACCTGCATAATCATTTAACACAGACATCTTTGAAAGATTACTGCACCCTATTTCTTGCACGATAGTATTTGCTTCATCAACCATCGTGACAGAATCGGCTAAGCTGCCATCAAATGCATACGCTCTTGCAAGCTTACTCAGACATTCAGCATACTGTTCAGTCTTGGTAAATCCAAGCTTCTTCTGCATCTCGTACGCTTCCTTGAACATCTTTGTAGCTTTGGGGCAAGGACGATGGCAGGAACACATGACCCAGAATTGATGAAAAGCAATCGAGACTAAACAATGACTGTAGCGCTTCTTATCTTCAGAGTTTTTAAAAACCTCAAGCAAACTTTGGTACAGTCGACAGAACTCGTTTGAAGATAAACGTATGGTGAAAAACTTGAATGAAGAATTGAGCAAATCTGCTGCGTACTTTGCAAGCTTTTTCTCACGAATCGAACTTTCCAACGCACAGAAAAAGTTATTCTTTTTGCATTCAAATGCAATCATGACTGTCTTAAGTTCCTCTCCTGAGCCATAAAATTTCTCGTTTAAATCATGTAAAATGGTCAAAAAGTACAAATTGAAGTGGTTGGAAGCATTTTGATAAAATTCTTTCAATTCTTTGCTCTCTTTTAAGAGTTCTTTGCAGAAAACTTGGACTATTCTATGAACGGCGTAAAAGCTTCGTCCTTCTGTATCAGGCCGGACAAAGGAGTTATCAACAAGTTGAGTGATGATAAGTTGTCGCTGTAGGTCGGACATGTCTCGAAGTACGCAACTTGTGTCGGCGATTTTGAACGATGATGGAAAAATGGATAATGCAACTAAGTGGCGTTGTAGCTCAGGACTCAATCTTTCGAAACAGATCTTTAAACATGGATACATATCTGACTCGGGTGGCATTCCTGCTAAGCCAAAACTCCGCAAAGTCGTACCGGGTGAACGCTCAAACTCTTTAATCAACAACTCTGGGTCAACATTCGTCTCGAGTAATGATGCAACTGCCCGGATGAGTAATGGAATCCCTTTGCAAAGATGACCTAGAGTTTCTGCATGAGAATTGGATATTTCTTGAGGAGAAAATATACGGATAAGCTGGGCTGCTTCTGTCTTGGTCAATGCAGGAAGTGGGACATTCTTCATTTTAAAGGAGATGAATTTCAACGCAACTCGAGAAGTGACGATCATTTTTATGTGAGGCGCCATTTCACCCGTAAGCTTTATAAACTTTAGAAAACTTGGTTTCAATTCAGGAACCAGCATGTCTTCAACATTATCAAGTACAAGTAAAGTATCTTGATGTGACGCTTCAAAGTAGTGATGTGCTTGGGAGATAGGGTCTTCTCCGGAAACAATGCCCATGGAATACAGGAGTTGGAATGCGACACTATCAACAGACGAGGCACCACGTGTTGATATGTAATACACATGGTAATCATACTGTTCCATCATTTCGTGGCCAACACTGATAGCGACTGATGACTTCCCGTAGCCTGGTGGGCCGGTAATTGTAACAAGACGATCGTGACCTTTGTGAAGGTGAGCAATGACCTCTTCACAGAGAAGAGCGCGGCCGAGGAAGTGTGGCACTTTCCCTGGCAGGGTTCCATGAAGCATGCTACACGAACGTTTTAGTTTGCAAGCTAAATAACAGAGGGGAAAAAATAATAAATCTACCAGCATCAACTGTGCTAATATACAGCTAATTCAAAAAAGGTTATCCTTTGCAAACCTTAAATATATATATATATATATATATATATATATATATATATATATATATATATATATATATATATATATATATATATATATATATATATATATATATATATATATATATATATATATATATATATATATATATATTAATACTTATGAAAAGTTTTATGGAAAAGCCTTAATAATAACCTTATATCAAGAAAAACGCGTGTGCTTAATTATTAAGTCAGTACTATAAACAAACAATATAATTTATAGCTTATAAATATACTTTAACTAAACGACATTAAATTCAAACCTTTTTCGTTCATGCCAAGCAGTTTTCGAGCCAGCTCCTGCCGTCCAATATGAAGCAATAACTCTGCCAAAAAATCTTTGTTTGTTTCAGTCAACAAGTCACGATGTTCGAGTTCAGAAAACAGATCTATAGGTCGGGCAAGTCTCTCTAAAACCCCGTCGGGAATTTCACCATCGCAAGCGAATTTCATATCGTCAAAATTACTCGAGGTTAGCTCTTGGGCTATGTTTAAAAGAAGCGCCCTAAATGAATCAGTTTTGCCCATGTTTTACAGCAAAAATATTGATGATCTTTAACTCAATTAAAGCTTTGTGTTCCTCTTCGCAACTTCTTCGTGGAATTCAAATTTAGACAAATATTAATATTTTATCACTTTTTAATGACTTTACGTCACGAGTTCGGTTCGAGGTCGGAAAATCACGGGAAACGTGAACAACGGAAACTGTTTTTTAGCGAAAATCAGAGAGCGAAAATAATACTTTCTTTTGCTTAAAAATCAAAACAGTTGCATGCCACCTAAAGTTTGTGTTTTTATTTATCCGCTAAGTATGTTTTTACAAAGCAAAATTGCAACATGGACAAGTAGGGATTTGTCCCCGGGGATGGGGTAAAATCTCGTGTGTTCATCGTTACCCATGCCAACTAGATTCGAATTTTAAAATGTTGCTGTCTGTTTTTAAAAAATATAGTAAATTCTCTTGACATTTAACACAGGATAAAGGCTCAGTAAGGAAGGATGTTTAGCTGAAAATATTTTTAATTAATCAAAATGGAAGTAATGAATCTTGTCAACTTTAAACAACTACAGCAGAAAATTAACGGTCTGTCGAAGGAGTATTTTGGCTATAGTACCTCTATGAAAGATCACGATGTTTCTCTTTATAAGCCAGCAAATGGATTGCTACATATAGGGCAAGAAAAGACGGAGAAGCTTGCTCCTTTAAGCAAGAACAAGTCGCATTTCCTGATCGTTTGGGGTTGTGGTGAATTTGGGCAACATGGCTCAGATCAAAGTGGCGATGTGACATTTGAAATGGCGATTCGTAAATTTAAGTCTGATAAATTTATGTTGCCACATTGTGAATTTCCTGTGATCACTGTTTGTGGGTCAAGTCATACATTGCTTTTGACAGGTAGACATGTGATGACAACTTAAATAGATATAAATAATGATCAACATGATAGATCATTGATTGTACTTATCATTGATATTAGTGATAGATAATAGATAATATTGATCAACATGATAGATCACTGATTATACTTCTTGATAACTGATAATAGATAATAATGATCAACATGATAGATCATTGATTACACTTCATCATAGATGGTTATAGATCATCATCATAGATAGATCATTATGGTTGTACTTTATAATCTTAGATCAATAGGATAAAATGATTATTATATGAATTGCATTATCAACAAGATATATCAAATACAGATTATAACTAATCCAACTATATTAGATGAATAGAATATAATACTATATAACTTATGAGGTACTGAGATCAGTAAATGATAATTATAGATAATGTGAGATTATTAGAGGGTTCATGACATAGAATGGCTAAACTATAGATGTTATTGCACCATTAAAGGTACAGATGAAGTTTACAGTTGGGGTAATGGTACCAGTGGTCAGTTAGGTAATGGTACCTGTTTGACAACCACTAAACCAACATTGGTACCTCTGACATTGGACAACAAGATACAAGGAATGTCATGTGGTGCTAGACATAGTTTTATCTGGACAAAGAATGGTTATTGTTATAGCTTTGGTAACAATTTTAATGCCCAACTTGGCTATAACTTTTCCAAAGCTGATTTTAAAGAAAACCAGGTAATGTATTGTATGTGGAAGCCCAACAAATGTTTGCTAGGGAAGACACTATGCAGATCAACAAAGGGATACAGCCAGTCAGCCATCACTTATATATTCTTAGAATATAGCTTCAATAAATAACTTGGTCCCAAAAGTTGTAACAAGTTTTTCCAACCATGAAAACTGCTTGGGATTATTCAGCCTAGCTTACCTAAATTCATCATTAATCTCACATTTTCCACTGAAGAATATAACAAATTTTGCAGCTCTGGCCAGTTGTAGTAGAACTTTTCCCAGACATGAAAGTGAAGGAGGTATCATGTGGTGCAAGACATTCATTATTTCTGCTCACCACTGGTCATGTGATGGCAGTCGGGTGCAACCAACATGGTCAAATTGGAAATGATACGACAGAAGATGTCGTTATTCCTACAATGTTAGATGATCTTCACTCTATAACTCATGTAGCTTGTGGAAATATACACAGCTTAGCATCACATGGTAAGTAATGACCTCAATGTTTGGCAACTTTTTTACTATATACAGGTATTAATGGTTGTCTAGCTGTCACTAGTTAGTGATAAAGACAGCCAACTCCTATCCCCAACTTGTCATTTGTGTACTTTCAAATAACTCACAAGAACAATATGTGCCCTGAAGCATCTACCACGCTGTTGCCACTGGTAGTCACTGTGCACTAGTAATGTATAATTAGCACTTGCTTTTCTGGCAGCTCTAAGTCAAACAGATTTCAATCAATTCACACTCTTTGTATTTCCACAGAAAATGGCTCAGTGTATGCATGGGGTTATGGTAAAGCATTTGGAAACAAAACACGACATGTAGCCACTCCACAGAAATTTGCTCCTAAAGACATTGAAAGTAGTGTTGTGGTTTCATTAGCTGGTGGAGACTGTCACTCCATGGCATTGTATGACTGTGGTGTAGTGTTCACGTGGGGCAATAATTATGAGGTGAGAAGACTGAATCTTTGAAGCTCTGTGAGCGGTGAGCATGTTGAGAATGAAATCAAATAGTTGCTGTTTTTAATCTTAATACTCAAATACTAAAAGGAATATAACTTTTGTTGTTGAGTTGATTAATGAGCGTATTATTACCGTGAAGTCAAGATAACGATACGGTGCTCATGAGTTTGTTATTTAGTTTGAGATTTGTTGATATATGTTTAATGTTTTGATGTGTTCCTATCTTCTAAGGGTCAACTAGGAGTTGGTAAAGATGTCAAGTATCAAAATGAACCAGAAGCAATACCTAGTGATCTCTTACCAAGACCAGTCATACAGATTGCATGCGGTGAAACTACCTCAGCCGCTGTCACGGGTACGTACGCTTCACGTAACCATTCACGTAACCATTCATAGGTAAGCCCAAACTGGCACTGGTCCACTTATCTGGAAGACTGCACTGGATACAAGACTATTCCTGCAAATCTGTTTAAATGCTAGACCAGTTAAAGGTACATTTTCTCATGTATAAATTCACTTTACAAAATTCATTTCAGGCAAAGGAGAGCTGTTTATGTGGGGGAAGAACGCAGGCCTGATTCATTCTGATAAATCATCGCAGCACTTCCAGTATACACCTCACCATATTGAAATGGATGGCATGTCCGTTATGCAGGTAAGATTATGTAAAATACACAGCACGAACGACCGTGCATATCAGATACACAATTATTCTAAAAGTAAACGTTAATAATCTTAAGTTAAAGACATGATTGAATGATATAGTTGGCAGAGGTGTAACTTAACTCTTGCCCGGGGCAAATGAATATCATGATGGGCAAGTAAACATTTTATCTTGCTTGCAAGTTGCCTTGCCACAAAAAGCTGGGCATTTTAAGTTTATGTTTTCATTGTCGGATAATTTTTTTATAGTGCATGTACTTGATTCAAATTTTTTTTTTTTGTGGGCCAAAGCTAGATCTGAGGTAGTATAACATAGCCATATAGAGCAGTGGTACCTAGGTACCCCAGTGGCCATTGTCTGATGGCAAGTGAATTTTAATCAGGGCAACTAATGTTCATGTCCAACTTGCCCTGAAGGCAAGTGGTCAAAAAAGTAAAGTTACACCACTGGTTGGTGAGAATAATTTTGTAGATGTGCAGGATTTGTTTATCAGATATACAAAGCTCCTTCATGGTCATGATTCCCTTTGTGTTTTCTTTACGAATTATTAACAAAATTAATTTAACAAATTTTTCTTTTTGTAAGATTTCCTGCGGGGCATGGCATGTTTCAGCAATTATAAAAAATTCAACGAATGAAACAGAAGAAATCTCCCAAAATCTGGACAGTGAATCTCTGGAGACTGAACAACCAGATTTTCCCAACCAGAAATTAGACTTAGTGAAGAATGCTGGATTACCTTGTGAAAACAGAGATGACACAGTTTCTGAAGCTTCAACTGAACAACAACAGAATCGCAAATGTAGGATTGAATCAATGGATACAAATATGAGTGATGATGCCTGTATTATAACAAAATATAGTTCACAACCTGAAATCCCACGAGTAAACATTCATGATAATGAATTGAGTGAGAATTCGTTGGATACTTGTTTTATAACTAAATACAGTTCAGACTCTGAATTTTCGATGGTGGAAAATGAATGTTGTGAGAATGAGATACTACTAGCTACGGACAAACAACTAACCAAATATTCTGAAGAAGTTATTTCAGACCAGGAGCAAGAAGATTGTCTAGCAACAAAAACTGAGGTTTATGGCGTGGACAAAACAGGTTGTAGAACTAATGAAACCAGAAATACAAACGTTATGGATTCATCGTTTGATTATAAGGAAATATACGAAGAGTCTCGTTCTTCAAGACAACATAAAAATAGGTTGCAACTGGACGAAGCTCATAGTATGGAGAAACAAAGCGATTCATCTAGCATTTCTGAACAGCTGGTTGGCAATTATCAAGGAAGACTTACTACCACGTACGCAGAAAAAGAGCCTTCGCTGTCTTCTTCTTCAGAGTCTAGAGAAGAAGACATACATAAGAGGAATACCAGAAAAAGTTTATTACGAAATGAGAATGCAACGACTTATTGTACGTTTGAATCTGAAAATGTTTGCAGCATAGAGTTTGACACGGTCAGGTTGGAAAAGGACAAAAGGAAAAACAATGACAGTTTACCAAATAAATGTGAAGATTTTAGGAACGACAATGTTGTAAAAGACAACCATTTTCTACGTAATAATAGTAATGACGATACAAGAAACAAGAACGACAGCTTAACAAGTTATAATCAACATGTTTCATGGGACAATGACTATATTCTTGGTAATAATAAACGCGTAAATGTGGACATTATTGAAAACAACAAAGGAAGCCAAATTGGAAGAAAAAATCTCCATTTAAAACATTGGAATGATTTAAAATCTCAACAGGCGGAGAGAAAGCCCGGTCCCTGCATTGCTGAGAAAAATGTTTGCGAAGATATTTCAGGCTTGTCGTTAGGTTCGCTTGAACAGAACTCGATTAAGGAAAGTTCAGTATTGAAAAGGAATATCAGACTGGCTATTACACCATTACAGAATGGCAGCATTAAACACAATTCAGCATTAAAACGGACTACAGAAGTTAAACCAGCTGTAACACCAGCTCAAAATAAAACCATGGAACAGAAGACTACAGGATTCAAACTGGCTATTACATCAACACAGAATAAAAGCATGGACTGTGATAACCAACTTCTCAGTCGACAACAAACAGTGCCGGTGATTGATCTTAGTTTTGGAAAGGCGGTTCGACATGTGGAACAAAGTAGAATAAAGCCAAGTTTCACAACGTTCAGAAATGTTTGGAAAGCTTCCAATCTCTTCCGGGAAAAGCAAAGACAGAAAAGGATTGGTATAGCAAGCAGACGTGGATCAGATGGGCTGTTCACTTTGGTAAGTTTTATTAATATTTCTCAAAATATTCATTGCTGGTATCCGCATTTAGACATTGCAAGAGCTGAAAGATGTAAAAACGTCTAATAATATGGTAAGGGAGTGACTTACAGCTTCGTTCCTGAATTCAAATATAAATATTTAATCAGGAAAGGGAATAGCCCTAGATGTGTACAGTAGAACGTACAGTATAAGGTATAAAACTTGGACCGGCCATTGTCCGTTGAAGTCAGTGCGATTGTTCATTGAATGTTCTGTGTCCCTTCACCATACGTTCTTCAATTGTTCATTTTTGGTTTTAACAAAATCCTTCATTAGATCCTTTATTGATAATGCTTGCGAAGATGTATTGTTTTTATTATTCATGCTTTCACTTTATTTGGGCACGATTGGGTGGATTGCGTAGTTTTACCTGGAAAACATTTTCTTCTTTTTTGTTGAGATCAGTTAAGTTGTGCGACGTTACTCAGCAAACCGAGACACGGTTTGCTCGTTTTGGAAATTCTTTTGAGTTCATATTCCTGCGTACACGAATATTCACGCTAGTTTGTTCATATAGAAAAGTTTCTTTCGCCATTTTTGCCGAATTTATTTTGTGAGCTGCCGTAAGACATTCTTGAAGATCAAGGCTTTTTGTGGACGTATTTCGCAGTCAATACGTGGCCAATATTTAAGGCAAAACTTAGATCTGTCAAATCACAACATACAGTACCAGTTACAGTAGTAAAAGATAGTAGTGGTACCTTTACACATCATATTTAGACTGGAGCTGTAATAACTTGCTCACATTTTATTCCACAGGAAAACACGTTGCCAAACCGTCCCGTACATGCTGTCAGAGAAATTGAAAAATGGTCAAAATTTAAGGAGGATTTTACACAATTACAAAATGATTCTACACAAGAGTTGAGGAGAACAACTGATAAATTATCCAAATGTTGTCATGATACGGGAGAAGTGTTGCCCCCAATTTGTTCCTGTAAGAAGAATTACGAAGTAATCCCGAAAAGACGTGATACATTGACTAACATTTTTATAGATAGAAGATAAAATTTGTGTCTTAGTGTAGGTAGCACATAGATTATGAAATAATGGAACTGGTGAAATAAGAATATACTATTTAGATGGCGTGTTATATTCACTTATAGATAGGAGATAAATTTGGTTCTTACAAATCGGTAATCACAACTCAACAGTTTTTATTTGAAATCACGAATGGGAATAAATGCAATTTCACATCGTCATAGGAGAGTTCAAGAACGATCTTTGATGTGTTGACGGAAACTTGTTAAGACTGTATTACCTGGTCTTGTCTATTACTTGGTCTTGTCTAAACATCATTGATTCTGTCATGATTGCTTTCTCTTCTTCATATTGACAATATGTATGTCGCTGCTTTGGAATATTGGGTCCTGATCTTCCGCTGGTATAGTGTGCATCTCAAATCCTTTCTCCAGAATCTAAAATCAAAATGCATATCAAGACAACGATACGGTGTTCATTTTTTTGCGTTTTGTTCATGATCATTAACGCATTTGTGTACAAATTATTGAGTATATATTTTATTTTTACTAACAAAGAAGCAGTACCTCAAAAAACTGCTGCTTCAAGTAAGGTTTATTTCCATCAAGTCGTTCTTCGTAGCTAACTAACACTTCAGTATTTTCATTTGCTAGATGGCATATTGTGTTGGTCAAAGGCCTTAGGGACTAAAATTATAAATCACAATATAGTTTCTCAATTTAGGCATGAATCATATGAAATATCTTATTTTTGATCAGAAGTGTCAGACAAACCTCCTCGTAGTATATTACATCAGACATGACAAGAACATCTACAGGATTGAATGACTTCAGATTTTCTCCCCTAAAAACAGTGCAATTATCTGAGTCAATTTCCATATTATCCTAACCCATTTCCTAACATCTTTCAGGCATGGGCGGATTTACTGGGTGGGGATTACCCCCCCCCCCCCTTAGAATCTCTCTAACCCCTCTTATAAAGTGTTCAACCCCACCAAAATTTCACTTCACCCCACCTACTTTGTGTGCAAGTCTTTAACTCTAACACCTAACCCCTGTAAAAAGCTCGCTCAGTGGTGTCGCTTGCACCCTTCTTGCCCGACCGCCTGGGAGTAAAAATGAACAGAGTGTTTTGGGGTAACTTTTATATTATTAATTTCTCACCACTTCAATTCACAATATTCAAATTTTCCTTTCAAATTTGTTTTATTCACTTTCATATTTAATTCAATTAATGATTGCAAATCTTTCAGATCTGTACAAGTTACATCAGCTCTGTAGAAAATGAAAATATGAAATTACATATTGTTTATAAATATAAATATATTAGATTCACTCTCTTCTCAATGCAAATTGGATCAGCTAGTCCTTTGGGACAGAATATATTACCCTGTCCTCTCTAATCCTAAGATCCAAAATCCAAATCTTAACCCTAATCCTTTACTCCTAACTCTAATCCTAGCCCTAATTAAGTCTAGCTCTAATCCTAATCCCACCATAATTCTAACCCTATATAATCCCAAAATCACACCAACCCTAAAATCTCAACCCTAATCCTTCCAAATAACATGGAAAAACAAGAAATACAAAAAATATTTCCTAGGCAACTATTTTCCTAGTATACTACACCTCGCACCCGATACTAGTCTCCAACACAGCTGCGTCGGAGACTACTATCAATGCTATTTTCCTACCCTGCCAGAGAGCAACACAGACCAACAATCCCTGTCCCGGCTCCTAATTCAAGAACTTTCTTATTATTTAAGTCTTCTTTTCTTGTTTTTTCTAAATATTTGGCAAGCACTAAGGCTGCATCCCATATTACACAGCCGACATCACCGATATAAGCTTGGTGAATGTTTAAACTGCAGTTAAATATTTCAATTTCCCGCACAAATGTATTCGAGAGATCCGCCATATTGGAAATTTGTTAAGGACGTCATGTAGTATAGTGTATAGATGTCCAACAGATGGTTGTTAATATCAGAGTGAGAAATTGGCCGTGCCCAAGCATTTGTTGTTCGTCTGGTTATGCGTCCTTAGTATAAAGATGGTCACAAGACGCATTATGCGTCTAGACGAACTATGTTCGATTCTTCGTCTTAGTTCGTCTAGGCCCGTCTTTATACTGAGGACGCATAACCAGACGAACAATAAATGTTGATAGTTCGTCGCATTGGCCGTTTTTATACTAGAGACGCATTATGCGTCTGGACGCATAATCCGTCTTCTACATTATTCGTCTAGTATTATTCGTCCCTTCTTTATACTAGACGAATAATGTAGAAGACGGATTATGCGTCCAGACGCATAATGCGTCTCTAGTATAAAAACGGCCAATATTATGTTACTCCATTATATTTCGTAGTCTTGTCTTTGGAGGAAAATAAATAGAAATGAGAGATATAGTTTAATTTTCATGCTTCTACACATGTCAACAATAATTTCTGAAGTTGAGTACCATCTGACAACCAACAGTCCCAACAGTATTAACAGAGAAACATATTTGTGTTTCAATTCAGTAACGTTACAAGGGCTAATTATAGTGAGCACACTGAGCAGCAAAACACATAATCTAATTATGAAAAGACAAAACCAATCTAAACCAAGACCGAACCAACAGACAAAATTAGGCTTGCCAATTTTTGCACAACATGATTGCGCACATAAATCACTTTATAAATAACCACTTCAGCACAACGTAGAACAACAAATCGTTTATCCTCGTGCAGAAATGACGCTATGACGTTCCAATCATAAAAACATCATTAAATGAATACTTCGATCATGTCCAATTTTTACCATATGTAGAAAGAAATATTTTGAAAGATAGAGTTCATTGCTCTCCCAGATTGAATTGATAGTTTAGATTTGTGTTGTAGTATTGTCTCGCGGAGTATGTTTTCACAGACCCTTCGTGTTTCCTTACTTAAGTCATTTAGTTTCCGCTCTGATGAAATATGGTTGTACTAAGTTATTAGTTAAGACAAATAAGCTGGTTTAATGTCATAGTTTATCATTAGTTCAAGAGGATAATATTTAAATCTTGTGTTGCACAATGAAGACAATTTTATTCTTTTAAACAGCGTGAATTGATAACCAAGTGGGTGGGAAAACGAAAACTGAACCAACTTTATTTACACTGGATAGCTTCATCTATCTAAACTGCTTCTTGAGCTCCCTGTAAATGTCCCTTACAAGCTAAACTCGAGTACCAGTGGAAAATATGTGGTGTATCTTATGCTGGAGTTACACCAACAACAAAATTGCTGCAACTTGCAACAAAATCTGATTTCAACGCATGTTAAGTAGCAACGTCGACACATGTTGCCTTGTGATTTGTAATTTATGTGTAAACATTTTCAATTAACATGCGTTGAAATCAGATTTTGTTGCAAGTTGCAGCAATTTTGTTGCTCGTATAACTCCAGCTTTATATTCAAACCGGAAGCGCTCTTTCACGTCGGACCGAGGCCGCATTGTGTCTACGATGTTGTGACCACAAGACTGCATGTTTGTCAGAGAATCTGAACTCACGAGACTCAAATATTTCCCTAGATAGTCCAGCACAGGTTAATAACCAACAGAAACTCAAGCACACAAATGGATGAAGCGCTGTGAGGCACAATAATAAGAGATCACTGACCAAAATTATTTATTTTGTCGAGATTTCAGCCATCAGATTATGACCATAGTCTAGTGACCGATAGCTCGTCAAAATAAGGAAATAAAACAGATACAGCATGTCACCTGTGTTTCCACTCGTCGTCTCTAACTATAGTCTAAGTAGTAGACATTACACCTGTGTTCGACTCTAACTAGTAAGCATTACTGAAAGTCAATAGCTAAACAACAAAACGATGGAAATTAACGATCTGATTGTGCACAAAGCGGTATCTCAGCGTTGGTCAGAGACAAACAATTACGTCAAATAAAGCGCAATCCTTAGACCATTTACTTTGGGGGCGACATCAAAGAACACGCCGACATTTCTACTACCCACGCCTTGGAGAGAAGCACTCCAAGCTACGTGGAATTCAATAAGAGACAGCAAGAAGCAAAAAAGAACCAGAGAATTGTCACCATGAAAATGAATATGAACTAAGACACAGGGAAATCTTTAGTAGTACATTCTCCTCAGCATGCAAATTATAATATTATAAACTAGAATTATTTGACGAAGCTTTAAGAATGAGATAATGCATGCATGTTCGATCTTCTGCCTCCACTGAAATGTTCTCGCTTCAGACTGGGGAACAGAAGGGTGTCAATAATCATTCAAATTAATTTCATGAAAATATGTTCAATTGGTTCAACCGTAATTTGACATGTTCAACATTATTTTTTTTGACAGAATCAAACTGATTTATTTTTATTCTTTTTAAGTTAAATGGTTTACAAAAAAAATCACTATAAGTGTACGTGTAATAGTATTTCATCTTTTCATTCTGTTTGACGACTCTAAGCTGGGCGATCTGGTGATTTAAAGACAGAAACCAATAATTTAAATGTTTATTGAATCGTTTTAAATGTATTGTTATCTAATTTCTAACTTCCGAACGTGGGGTTGTAATGTCGGTAGTATTCAATGTTAAAACTGTCTTTGTTTTTATCGCAACTGCTTGAAAGAAATGACAGAAATAAGTCAAAATAACATTTCAAAGTAAACGTGAATTTTTTTTCTTTCAGCGAGATGAAAACAAGGACAGCTGATTCAGACAAACTTAAAACCATCAATCAAGCCAAGCTTTCTTCTTATATTTGCTATTATAATATAGCTAGTTTTCTTTATTAAATCTTTTTCAAATCAATCCGTGCCTTATTTATTAAGCTATTTTATATAAAAACAAATGCATGACACAGCAATGTTTATTCAGTTACACGTGTGAGCTCTGTGTCTGAAATCAGTTCCATATCAGATCGCTAAAATAATTTATTTTTGCGATCTCATCTCAAGTAGAAAATTGTGTACTTGATGTGTTTTGAGTCGAACGGAAGGAAGCTGTGAGGAAAATCAACTTGAAAATGTTTTTTCAGTATTGTATATCGCACGGAACGGCGAGACGAAGTCATTGCGCCCGTCAAGATGTTATATCCATTAAACTTTCACCTTTATTTACTGAGAAGGTGGTTTAATTCGATCTCGCAAATCAATTCGTGCTTAATGTGTTGTATAGAGAATTCTACCGCCAATGATCGCAAACAGCTTTAAGTTGTGAAAACATTTGGATCCATTCTTAAAACAAAATGCTTCACTAAATTTTAAATGTATATTTCAGTGCGCGACTAAGCCTGTGAGTGTTAGCATGGTACGTCCAAAACAAGGAGTGACCCGAACACTTATGAGATGATGATTTTGTGCCAGATAAGATCTAAGAGCGATAACTACGGGTTTTTATTTAGTGTCAATTTTCCATCTTATCTTATTAATCTAATCAGAGAATGTGTGTATTACAAGTGTGTACTTGAGATCAACTCCGCCCGTCGCGGGCCAGTACCTCAAAAACCTTAAGAATTTTTGAATGTTTTTACTATGGAGTGCAATTTCCGATATAATCTTGCGACAGATGTAGTAGTCATTGTACGTAGGACATGTCTAGTTTATTTTTCGGTCTTCCATTCAGGTTATTAACATTGCTGGTGTAAATTATCTACAAAAACAATTCGGTGAAGATTAGGACAAATCTTCCATTTAAAACAAATGTCCGCGGAAAAATAATAAATGTGACATATATGCTGCTAATGGACGACACATGCTGCTTTGCGTGCATGTACGAACGAATGCGCAATTTATTCAAATTTACGCAAATTATTCAAATGTGCGCAAATTTGCGCAAAAGCTTCTAACGAAATCCAACAATTCTACAAATTGTTTAAAAGAGTGCGTCTTGGGTTTGTTTACAGATAAATGTGTAGTGTTTAGGGTTATCTGAATGGGGCCTGTTTAATCCATATGCCCGCCATGTGGGTGGTCTACAATCCGAGGTGTCAACAGCCCTTGTCGCTGATGGCTTTGAGTTTTCTTTTGACAGTTATCTTTAACACTGCGATAAATTGTTGGAGTTATGTTTAGACGCTGGCATTGCCAGGACGCAGAGCTCGAGTTTTTTGCTAGAACTTAGAAAAATTGCTCTACACATTCAACGCAATATTCAGATGCAATAGGACAAGAAATTGGTCCACATTCAAGACAACATTTAGGCACGATACGAAGAGAGCGAATTCTTTACACACGAAGAGCAAAGACAAGGACACAAAATCTTGAGTTAAAACGTAATTGGGCTGTTCTGTTTGGAACTTAGTAAATTCTCACACATTCAAGAACTTCAATTATTAAAGTAAGGAGACGAAAGAAGACAAGAAAATGATGAGCCACGCAAATTGGTTATCGCCTTCTTTCCCCGCGGAGTATACTCGCTACGATTTACTCCATCGGTTTAACTTAGGAACTCGAGGTTTGCCTTCTTCGGCGAGCCTATCCCATGAAGATGGTATACACTACACAGCATACCCTAACATGGTTTCCCCAGGTGTTTTAATCGACGAAGACGGCGAAAGAGCGAGTGAAGCAGAGAATATGGGATCAAAACATTACTATACCGGCAGTGATGTGAAACCCCCCTACTCGTATATTGCCCTAATCACGATGGCGATAGAAAACTCGCAAAACAAGATGCTCACATTGAGCGAGATTTACGAATATATTATGACCCGTTTTCCATACTTTCGTAAGAACCAGCAAAAGTGGCAAAATTCAATACGACATAACCTGAGTCTAAACGATTGTTTCATCAAAGTACCCCGAAGTATGTTTGGTAAACCAGGGAAAGGTAATTTCTGGAGTTTACATCCAGCTTGTGGAAATATGTTTGGGAATGGCAGCTTCTTGAGGCGACCTAAAAGATTTAAATGTCATCCACCAAAATCATCCAACGATCCTGCATTTGTACACCATGTTGATTCCTATCATCATTTTAGTCTGTTCAGTACAATGCATCGTCACACGGCTCAGCACAGATTCTCGCCTTATGTAGTGAAACCATTTCAACACATTCTCACTCCTGCCTGTTCTCTACGGCAAGCCTATTCCACGAGTTTTGCCTTAAATAACGAACAGAACACGAACAATTTCTCGAAGAAAGGATTCAGCGTCCACGAAATTATGGACAAAGCTGAGGATAGTGAGTTATAAAGTGTACATATAGTTGAGGTTTATTGTATATAATCTTGTTTAAGATTTCATTTTTGGGGGTTTTATAAACTGAAACAATCTTCTTGTCAGAAGCTGCAAGTCTTAAATTAATATTGAGTTTTATATAAAACTAGACGTTCTAGTTAATATTCAAGTTTTATGACTTGAATGAGAACATTTAATAGGTTTTATAAACTGAAACATGAACTATATTAGTGGTTATTCAAGTTGATTTTATTTATATTAATTTAAGTTCTATTATCCAACTAAGTATATCTTTTGACTTTTGTACAATACAGTTCCATTTTTTGAATGGTATGAATGTATATAAGTATCTTATATCTTATATAAAAAGAAATACACAAATTAACATTATTCTGAAATACATGAATGTTTTAAGATTATTGCGTTGGCAAATGAAAATATAAGTAACCATACTGTTATTTCGGTGAAAGAATGGGAAACGGTCTTCCTTCCTTTTCGGGTTAAAAACATGTGCAGATTTCAATATCCTTGTTAATATTTTGTGATTATTCTTCAGAAATGCATGACTACTCAGCTGAGGTGCAGTTTGAAATAAGAATGGGGTACGCGCGCACGCAAATGCCGAAATCTACCGAATTTTCTTTTGAAGGTGAGTCGGACCGGTTGACACGAGAGATGAACTCTCCCGGCAATGAAAGCGGTTCGAAACGACGAAACGTTCTATA